ATGGTGCATGCCTGTAGTCCCAGCTACTCAGGAGGCTGAGGCTGGAGAATTGCCTGAACCCAGGAGGCGGAGGTTGCAGTGAGCCGAGATCGTGCCATTGCACTCCAGCCTGGGGAACAACAGCAAAACTCTGTCTCAAAAAAAAAAAAAAAAAGCTTAGTCCATCTGTCTTTTCTTTTTTTCCTTTTCTTCCATTTAACTACCCCCCATCTTGTTATTAATGTGATTAGATCTGGCTCAGCTCAAGTTGTTGCTTTGATGTGTGTTTAGTTATGACTTGTGGAGATTTGCATAACCAAGGACAGCTTGCTGCTTCAGAAGAATGTCTCTGTCCCCCTTAGACTTCTCAGATTAGGAAGACATGAGTTCCTCTAAGGATACTAGTCATCCAAGGAATAACAGTAGCTACATTTGTAGTTGGTAGGAATCAGACTCTTGTCCTTCTAAAACAGAATCTCTATGTTCTGCTTAGTCTAATGTCACATGGAACACTAAAGGTTTAGGATAGCCTGCTTCCACAGGTCTTCATCAGTCCTCAAAACTATATATCCACTCCATCAAAGGAATCACTCCTTCCAGCTGTCAATATAATCAGTGCTTACTGCTGTTATTGCAACATCTGAAAACTCTTCCCCTTCATTAAGCCATATTTATGGTATAGGAGCCGACATTTCAGGAAGGGATCCTAAAGGAATTTTTGAAATGCACCTTATTGCTCCTTCAACCTCTTTATGAATCACTCCTCCTAGACACAATGACAAAACCAAATTCTCAATGGTAGACGTAGAGGACCTAAGGCAAACCACAGCCTTGAAACAGGATATAAGGATGCAAATGCCGGGGTAGAATGGATTAAATATTCCGTTTGCGCCTTAAATAAATTCAACTGTTACGCTTGTGCGCACGACAGACCAGAGGCCCAGGTTGTCCCCTTTTCACTTAGATGATCTAATCAAGCGGACATGGAGTGCATGATAGCTTTAAGATTCCACAGCTTGGAATAACAAATTGTACCAAGTTCTTTTGCTGGTATTTCCTGAGGTTCAGCACCCTGTGGGGCAGCCCCCGAGGGCCATGTCGCCTCCAACTCCCAAGGCAAACTTCACCATGACAAGTGGAAAACTTAGTGTTCCTTGGAAACTTAACAGGATGGAGTGAAGTCAGGCACTTTCGAGAGCTGGCTCATCAGTCGGCCCTTACTCATCCCGATCAGATGCATGGTGGGACTGTGGGGACCTTTACTGGACACTCTGTCAAATAACTGGAGTGGCACATGCGCTGTAGGTCCAGTTGGGTATCCGTTTCACCCTGGCATTTCATCAACCAGAAAAAGAGAAATTACAACATCGGCAAGTTAAGAGAAGCTCCTTATAGGTCTTTTGATTCAGAGAATGTCTATTTAGATGCAACTGGAGTTCTTTGAGGAGTACCAGATAAATGTAAAGCTGGAGCTATCAGATAGCTGCAAGATTTAAGTCAATGTTGTTCTGGTAGGTAACAGTTAATAAAAAACTGTAGATTAAACTCCATGTAGTACAACCAACAGCAGTTTGTTAACAATACTAAAGATGCTTTCAAAGGAATAGCTGAACAATTAGGATCCACTAGCCAAATGACCTAATAGAACAGCCCTAGATCTGATGCTAATTATACTTCTCCTTAGATGTTGTGTCATACCAAGCATCAAGGACTCGTGCAGAGGCTAGGAGACGCAACTCTTACTAAAATATCCACAACCACCGGGCGCGGTGGCTCAAGCCTGTAATCCCAGCACTTTGGGAGGCCGAGGCGGGTGGATCACAAGGTCAAGAGATCAAGACCATCCTGGTCAACATGGTGAAACCCCGTC